CTGGATTGAGGTTCACTCAACCCTCCATCCTTCTGAGGTCAGTGAAATAAGTACCCAGCTCGCTGGGCATGTGTATGTGTGCGCGTGCATTGTGTAGCTTGCACAATTAAGTTGTCAACCAGCCAGAGAGTGCTTTAAGCACTATGGGGCAATATATAAGCAGCACATTTTGCTTCGGCTCTCATGTGCGACGCCATTGCACAAGTGGGTCATTTCCCAGATGTGTGTACTCTGGATTCAGTTCTAATGGTCTCTGCAATTGTTGTTATGTTAAACTGGGCCATTGGTGGAGAGGAACTATGGTTTCTCAGGCATCTTGACTTGTATAAAACTATTGTGTATTAGGTGAGATCATATTATCCATTTATGAAGACTTGTGATCGTGTCTTGATATTTCCATATAAGCAAACATAGGCTAGGAGGCAGCTTCGTAGCACATCTGGTATTTCCAGCTGGGGGGGCAGGGGGAGGAAAGGATTTTAAAAAAAGAATTTGGGCTTGATTTCACCCTCCTCCGTTGTGAGTAGGCACAGGTAAAAATCCGGATGTGCCCCAAACCACTTAAATCATCTGATCTTAATCTTAATTGTTCGCCTGCTTTTGACTTCTTTTTTATTTTTCCATTTAGGTTTTTGTTCCATCAAAGGCGCTCTCCTTAGAGGAGCAAGAAAAAGGAACTGAATCATCTGTTACCAGGAAATGCTGTTCCTTTACGCCTTTTCATTTGAATAATGAGCCTTGGAACAACCACCAAATTAAAAAAGATAAAATGAAATAAAAACACAACCCTGCCCAATAGAAATCCTCATCTACTAAGCTCACTGCATCTGCATAAATGGCCCCGGGCTGACTTAAAAATAAAAATAAACCATGTTTGGCCTGCCTATAGAAAAAGGGGGTCTTTTGGCAGAGGTGGGTTGCAAACCAGGCCTGGTAGCTCAAAGCCTGTGTTGGCATCGGACAGCCAAATGATAAGAGGTACTCATTTGGTGAGATAAAGGAGATTTGCTTATCATACAGGATGTTTCCCTAGCTTACCTGTATGGAAATTAGTTTCCTTCTGACAGGTGATTAGCCACTAGAAAGTAAAAAACAAACTTTCTTCTTTCTTTCTTCTTTCTTTCTTCTTTTTTCTTCCTCTTTTTATCTGTTGGGTTGTTTTATTACCTTCTAAGCAAGAAGATACTATCTGGAGCTCAGTCGGTCACCTGCCAGGTGTCAGGTGTTTGACCAACCAACCACTGTGCCTTCTGGGAGGAGAGCCAGCCGGTCCCAAGGGACCCCAAGAAGGAGGGTAGGGAAAACCACTTCTGCTTATTCTCGACTACGTCTGAGCACTTTCCCAGCGGGTTGAAGCCGGCTGGTTGATCTGTTTCAGCCTGGAATCCCTCTGGAGTCCGGGAAGCTTTCGTTGGCCTTTCTTATTCCCGTTGGTCTTCCGAAAGGGTCTGCTGGGTGATATGGCTTTCCCGCAGATATCCGCCAGGCGCCCTCGCCCTTGACCTTCAGGAAATGGGTCACGACCATATTGTTTGAAGGGGCCGTTAGAAATATCTTGCCCCTTACACATCCTGGTGGGCCCCGGAGTTGAACTCACTTCTGTTTGTGATTCGCCCTCCAGGTTTCCTTCTTTATGTGGACACTCTGGGTTTTAATGTTTATTGGTTTTCTTCATTGATGTCTGCCTGGGTGGGACTGGGTCGTTGCGTTTTAACTGTTGTTAGCCGGCCAGAGTAGTGCTTGAGCACTAGATGCGCAGGGTAGAAATGTAACAACAACAAAAATATTAATTAATAACCAGGCCACCTTGTTCAACATCCTTGTTTTCCAACAGCAGCCAGAGAGATGGCTTCACAGACCCCACAGACAGGATGTAAAAGTGATAAGTCTGGTTGCTCTTCAGTTTTTGACATTTAATCTTATTTATTGTGTTTTATTGTGTGTTTCAAGCACAGGTATAAGTGGCTGCTGGTCTAGACAGATGACCCTCAATAGCCTAATAATAATCATCACAGTAACAACAACAACAACAACAACAACTTTAGAATCTCAGAGCTGGAAAGGAGCAGCTCTGGATCATGGAGTCTCCAATGGGGGGAATCGAACTCACAACCTCTGAGACCTAAACCACTCCTTTCTTTCTTTGCCATGCTTACAACATGGGAATTTTTGCTTTTTGACTACACAATACACAACATCCTGGGTGAGTGGACTACAGCTCCCAGAATCCTGGGGGGTGATGATGAGTTGACCCCCACCACCGCCCAAATAAACTTTCCCAAGTTTTGGCATGCCTTGGGGCATTAGAGCCTAGCCTCTCTGCTCACATACAAAAAGTAGAAATAGGGAGTTTGCTGTTACCTGCGGTTAAGTCTGCACCGACTTTTATAGCAATCCTGACAGGGTCTTCAAGGTAAGTGGGGTGTTTAAGGGGTGGTTTTACCAGTTCCATGCTCCCCACTCCATGGGTTTCCCATGGCTGAGTGGGGATTCGAACCCTGTTCTCCAGACTCCTAGTCCATCACACTGTCCACAACCCCACCCTGGGAGCCCAAAAAAGTACCTTCTCATGAACCCAACAGGAGGCAAAGGCTTTACCTGATGTAAGAAAGGAACTCAGCTGACAGCTTGCGTGGAGAGACTTTGGATCAGCCGGAAACAACAACAACAACAACACCCAACCTGCTTTGCATGCAGGTGGTTTCAGGTTTGAACACGAGTCCGATAAACAACCCCTGGCATGAAAACCCTGGAGGAACAGTTGCCAGGTATCATTTCCGAAGGACCAGCCATGCCAGCTTCCTAGGGTCCCATCACACATGAAAAAGGGCTTGCCAGATCACACGCTGGAGACCCAGGGTTTTGTGGGTTGGGTTTTTTTTTGGCGGGGGGTTGAAGGCAGAGTGCCCAGTCCACTGTCTCAGTCTCCGGCTTTGGACCTGGAATACCAAATGCAGTCGGAAAATATCCAAGGCTTTGATGTTTTTCAACCTTAAGCCAAAACAACCAACTGGGAGCACGAAGGTTAATTATTTCGAATGCTCAAAGCATGTCTCGACCTTGCAGGCCTCCTCGTTCTGTGCCTATGGAAAGAGAACTGAGAACAGGTTTGCACAGTCCAAGGTGGGGGAGAGACATCTTCCTGTTCGGTCACGTTTCCCTACGACATGCTGAAAGAAAGGTGTGCTCACCTAGATCAGGAAATAGGTCCGGAAGATGCATTTCCCCCCCTAGGATCCAACCTCATAGCCATACACAAGCTCAGAAGGAGGGAATCAGGTATGTGTGTGTTCTGCCTTTCAGGGAGATATTAGACTGACGCACGTCTCTTTAAAACAGGTATTGGTGCAAGCTTTTAAGAAGAACTGCTGGAGAGTTTGGCCATTTAGGTCTTGGGAGGTTGGGAGTTCGATTCCCCCACTGGGCTTCCTCGGCAGGGGCCGGATTTGATGATCCAGCTTGGCAGTTCTAAGAGGATTCTAAGGTTAGGTTATTACAAGTAAGTCTTCAACGGGTCTTGGGAGCCTGTTGGTGTTGCTTCTGTTCTATCTTCTAGCAGGTATTTGAAATCTGTGGTTTTTGACGTTTGTTATTAACATGTGTGAAAAGTTACAACCAGAAGGCAGCTCCATACCTTCCGAAAACTAAATAAATGGCAAATTCCGCACTGCCTGGCACTCCCCAGAGTATTGATCGAGGGGACCAATGTACACAAATACCAAGATGCTGACTAACACAGAGAATGGTTTTCCCGATTCAGATTCTGAGGGCGTCCAGTGTCAGCCAGTTCCACCGTCACCAGAAGACTCAGTTGTCCATCGGTCTCATTCTCCCCATTGTTTCCTCGGATGTCCACATTGTCCGCTCCCTGCAGTTTTTAACGAACATGGCTCGGGGTGAATAATTTTTAACGACCCTTTCATCTTTTTATCGCTGTTCTGCTGTTTTTGTGGGAAAAAAGCATTTATTGGATTCTCAAAGGCTTTATTGGACTGTTTTCTCTCGTAAGTCACGGGGAGATGTTTTTAGCCTGGAAAATGGTATAAAAATGGTCTTAAAATGAAAGAGCTGGATCCGGCATCAAGCAGATGATCAGAACGGTCCTGTTTTTTTTCCCCAGCCCTTTGCTAAAACTAATATAAACAGCTTTCAAGTTTTAGTCCTAGGTCAGTTTCCCAGAGTTCATTTACACGCTAGTCAGAGATAGGACTCCATCTATCTCGAAGGGGTCAGGGTTTTCCCCTCTCTCAATCTCTCTCTTTTGAAGCCTGACACTATTATCGGCTAGGAGGCAAAAGGGCCAAGCTTGACGGGAGCAAAGACCCATCGTATCTGGTCACCCAGGAACCCTCGTACGATGCTCCCACGGAGTCTCAGAAGGGAAAACAAGACCATCTTCCACCATGCCCTTCCCAGCAAAAGATACCAAGACAATATCTTTTTGAGACTCCAGCAAATCCCCTAGCCATGCTGCTTGGGGGGGTCTTTGGTGGGTCCACAGAAGTCACTCTACCCCATTTCTGAGATCTCTCCTCCTAGCCGTCCAGTGGCACTCTCCCCCCCCCCGTGCCAGTTGTGCGAGGCCTTCTTAAGGTTTGCTGAGTCAGAGAAGGAACTGAGAGAAGCTTGTGCAAAACTCATGCAAATGGAAGATAAGAAAGCCAGCTGCCACCAGATGAACCTCAGGGAAGAAGGAAGCAGGAACCTTAAGGAGTTCAAGGGAGCCTGTAGGTCATGGTCATCTCCCGCCTGCCCACTGGCCTCCTCTCTTTGACTCTCTCCCCACAGCCAGCAAACTATGCCGAAACAGTAAACACAGGCAAATCTAAAACAAACAGAGGAGGCAACCAGCAAACAACTTCACTTTTCTTGATGGAGAACGTAGGCATATATGGGATTTAAAACCCTTGGAACGGAAGACACAACCCATCTGCTCTGGCTTCTGCACTGGATGCTATTCACGCATGCACAGACTAACTTAGCTAAAGAAAGAGAGGGGGTGGGGGAAAAGCTTTACACTTTATTATATTCCCTTGTACAGTTTTACACAGGTACCGTTTTCAAGCCCAGTCCTCAGCACGAGGTTGGAAAAACGCTCGAGTTGTCATATTTGACAGGACCAAACCAAACGAAGGCAAGATAGAACGAAGGCAAGGTGGAGGCACTTTCTGGGGTGGTCTGTAAGTTAAGGAAGTACCCTGTATGAAATCCACTTGGAGGGGGGGAGAGAAAGAAGAGGAAGAAGAAAATTAACCGCCTTGATTCAAGCGTTTGGATGCCAGCGTCTTTCGGTCCAAAGTATTCCTGAGAAAGGTCTGCAGAATGTCAACGGTTGCTCCTGGGACTCTTTCAAAGGTCGCCCATCGATCTTGGCGAGCCGTAGCCCTCTCCTGACGTCCCGCTGATGGCGCAGAAGACGTGCAAGGTGTTCTGCACCCAGGAGGCATGGATCGTGTCTTCCTGATAGATCTAAAAACAAGGAGCCGGATTAGCAAAGGCTTCTCCCTCAACTCACAGCGACAAAGTGATTTCAGAAACACCAAAGAGGGAAATGGGAGTGTTTGTTACCCAACCTGGTCCTCAAAGCTGGTGTTGCAAAGGCAGCGTGAAGAAAAAGGAAACAGAGATAAGGGGGTGGGAAGAGATATTATTTTGCAATGCGCAGCTCTTTAAAAGTCAATGGAGTAGCTTTAAAAAAAAACACAGACACGGAAACACACACAGAAACACACACACACATAGAGCGAGTGAGAGACGAAACACACACAGAAACACACACACACACAGAGCGAGTGAGAGAGAGTGAGAGCGCAAATCCTTTTTCATCAAGCTATTAGCATGATTTCTTTTCCCAAAGGCCTCCAGCCATGGAAATCCCCTGACCACTCTTCTACGCTGCTCTTGCTGCTGGCTGGCTGTGACCTTTTGGAGTTTCCTAATCTGTTGTTTCCAGCGCGGCTGCTACGGAAAGCGAAGAAACATCTCTGGCCCTGGGAATGCATGCTGGAAGCGTCCAGCGAGGCTTTAGCAGGATTGCCCTCCTCTTTCACAACCGGTTCCCAGTTCTTCCCCCGGGGCCACCATAGCCGTGCCGGCTGCAAAATTTTGAGAACTGCAACCTTTTATTATTATTTTAAATAATTTTTGTGTACGATCCTCTCACCTTATTTGTCAACCAGGTCAACACTACAACACAATCACCTCACTTCTACAATATCTTACTGCTTTATAATCACCTACACGCCCGCTGTGCTCATATCCGACCATACTTAAATTCATTCTTGTAACATATTACAAAGGAGCTGCAGTCAGAATGAGCAAGGTTTCCTGTTCCGGCCTCGTCTGATCGCAACAGCTTTCCATTTTAAAAGTGCCGAACGAGAGGCCTTTGGTACAAAGTTAAAAAAATTAGACTTGCTGCTTTTGAGTTCCTCATTCAGATTTGGAGGGCTTCGAGTGTCGGGTCTGCACCGTCCCCTGAAGACTAAATTGCTCAATGAATCATGCTCTCGATTATTTCTTTGGCTGTCCAGTTTTCTAACCCAGTTTTCAGAGTCAGAATGAATCATCTCTGGTTCTCTTTGGTGCCCTCCCCCCTCGACCTCCATCCTCTTCCCTATCCATACTTTATTGGAATTACTGTCATTATCTTCATCGATACAATCATACCATTATACGTGACATCATTTCTTTTATGTCACCGTTACGGCTTGGCACTGTGCAGAGTGACCCGTTGGTCAGAGGGGCGATATAGAAATTAAATGAATAAACAAATAAAAAATAAAAAAATTTAAATTCTATTTAGGTGGAATCAGATCAGGCCGTCTCTGTTTTCCCTGGCCATCCGTCCCAAGACAGAAAGAAGGCTCATGTCCTAAATATCAGGATCCTGGAAGCATCAGGTCACGCCAGCCTAATTCGGAGTCTGTTGATGATCCCTGTTAATCAGGCACAGAACAGCTGCCCTCCTTGTCTGTATCCGAATCCAAAATCTTCCAAGACAGAGAAAACCATCCACAAGGCGTGAAACAAACTTTGGAAAAAATTACCTCTTTTCACCCTGTGGCCTGGGGAGATTCCAGAAAAATCACTTTCTCCAGCTACTTTTCATGTCATTTGTAAATTGCCTTGGGGACAGGATACAAGACAGGCAGGCAGACAAGGAGGAAGGGAGGGTGGGAAGGAAGGAAGGATGTGGGCAGTGGCCGCTGTGCAAGAGCATTACGCTTGCACAACGTCTTTTCCCCCCAGAAAAGGAATGTTTCTAAGCCTGGCTTAGGTTCTATCATTACTTTTTAGCAAAACAACAACTCCATCCTCTGGTCGTAAGATGCACAACCTTGGAGTCTCGCGCTTAGATAGCTCTCCGAGGTGCCAGAGATACTACGATACACTATAGAATATAAATGCAGTATACAGTGGTACCTCGCAAGATGATTACCCCGCAAAACGACAAATCCGCATGACGATCAGGTTTTGCAATCACCCTTGCGCTTCGCAAAAGTGTTTCCTATGGGCGTTATTTGCTGGACAATGTTTTGGTCCGTGCTTCCCAAGACGGGCCCCCCCCCCCGGGACCGATGCTTCACAAGACAGCAATTTTTATAGCTGATTGGAGCTTCGCAAAATGGCTTCTGTATAGGCAATTTTCACAAAACAATGACTATTTTCCCCATTGGAACACATTAAATGGATTTCAATGCATTCCAATGGGGAAACACTTTTCGCAAGATGATGTTTTCGCTAAACAGCGATTTCAATGGAATGGATTATCATTGTCTTGCGGGGCACCACTGTATAAACACAACTGCTTAAGAAACAACCACAGCTGCATGCTTTGAGGTCTTGGTTGAGGATCCCCGCTGAGTCCGTGCTTCCTTACCTGTTCGTGGATGATGTCAGAAAGCTCTTTCACCATGTCTCTGAAGTTGGACTTCAGTTCTTCGTGGTATTCGGCCTGATCCTCCTTGATCAAGCGTTCGTTGAGCTCAAGCGCCATCCCACAGGCTTGGATGAAATTTCTGGCAGGACAGAAGGCAGTTGTGAGACTAAGCAGTCCTGCTTATCATGTTTGTGGCTCACCCCTTCCTTGATTCAGGCCAGGAATTCAGAATGCCCTGGACAAAGGGTTCATTCCAGGACAGCGTTTAGACCAATAAGGCAACATGGACTCAGAAAAAAATAATCGTTCCCTTGGAAGTTCTCCCAGGAAGGAACCCTAAAGCCAAACTCTGCATCTGCTAAGCCGAGGGATGCGATTACACCATATGGAAAACATGGCTTGATCGGTGGTGTATCTGCAGTTGATCAAACTGAGTTTGTCAGGGTGGAATCGCTGTAGCTGGCTAGATGGCAATTTGCAGAGGTCAGCAGAGGCCCAGAGCTCAGCCGGCATAGACCTCTAACCCCAGAAACTGCCTTAAGGTGCTAACTAGGTATCAATTGGCAATTCCCACCCTCTCCCTTTTTAGCGGGTTCTCTTCAATTCTTTAGCAAAACTACACACAAAAGACCAGTTAATGACACCCATCAATCACAGTGACAGATAATCTCTTCTCCTTAGCACAACAATACACCCACAACAAGACACACTAATCATCCGTCTACAGGAAAAGACAAAAGCATATCTCACAGCCATAAATACTGCACCCCCAAGCCAACTACACCAGAGCACAGAAAATCATCGTCGTCACCATCAAGCTTCTGGACGTGGTGGCTGCTTCTAGAACTCCACAGAAGAGTCAGAGAAACCAGAAGCCTGACCTGAAGGGATGCCGAACAGACTGTTTGATGAGCTCAAGAGGTCTCGGGCCGACTGGAAAGGAGACCTTCTGAAAACGCCTAAGCCGGCCACCTTGAGCACCACCATAAAAGAGAAGGGGGGAAATTAACGCAATCAAGAACCCCAACCTAGCTGGAGAGCTCAGTGGCTTTGTTCTCTGGCTGCGGAGAGAGAGGTTGGGAGTTCGATTCCCCCGCCGGGCTTCCTTGCCAGGACCTGGACTAGGTGATCCATAAGGTCCCTTTCCAGCTCTGCCGTTCTGAGATTATTATTATGATTATTATTACCTGAACATTTCTTTCAATTCGTTCACCTTCCTGGCAGGGTACTTGCTGGCGTGCTTGTCATCCAGGAAAGCCCGTGCGTAGGCCAGCGGACCTGCGTTCACCTGAGGATCAGCCACAACACAGAGATTGAGACCTCTGCATTTCAACCGAAGCCAAGCTCAGCGGCATTTCACGGCAAAAGTCTCTCCTCGGCACCACAGTCTTTGCTTATGTTTTTCCTCACAGGGAAGGATGAAAAAGGGGACATGTTTTCTCCCTGCCGGGGAAGGCTCTAAGAGTCTGGGGGTTTTCTGTGCAGTTTCTGTGTTACTCTGGCAAACGGTTTGCGAAGCGGCTTTGCACAAAACAATCCCGTATTTTGTGTATATTACTAGTCTTGTAAACGCAAAACCCTACTTTGAGAAAGTTGGGTTGATGTTTATGAAAATAGCAATATACACAAAATATGGGACTGTTTTGTGCAAAGCCACTTTGCAAACTATGTTTACTTTGTAAAAGCAAAGTAAGTAAGTAAGTAAGTAAGTAAGTAAGTAAGTAAGTAAGTAAGTAAGTAAGTAAGTAAGTAAGTAAGTAAGTAAGTAAGTAAGTAAGTAAGTAAGTAAGTAAGTAAGTAAGTGAGTGAGTGAGTGAGTGAGTGAGTGAGTAAGTAAAATACTCTATTAGTGCAATGCATTATTCTGGGTGGTTTACAACAAGTTAAAAAACAGTAACCACATAGTAAAATGAACAGATAGACAATTAAAAAAAACCTCCATGAGGTGCAAATTTAAAAAGCCTTGGTCTTTTCCCTCTCATGCGGGATTAAAAAAAATTAAATCTCACAGCCACTGATTATTTTTTCAGTGGAGTGTTTTAAAAAATATATATCGAGACACCTTTTTTCATGAAGGATGAGAAAAACTTTCAAGGGTTGTTTATATTCTTAGTGTGTTCCGTTTGACATCCTGGGTGTGCCCCCCCTCCCAGCGGCCAGCCAGGTAGAAGGCTTGCAAAAGTTACTTTTCGGAACTAGAACACCCAGAGTCCTCACTGCCTATAGGCCAAAAAAAGACACAATGGATTTAAGCTCTGATCCAGCCTGTGGTTGAGCATCTCTAGGCAGAGCCTGCCCATTTCCAGGTAATAATAAATCCTACTGCCAACTATTTCTAGTATTAAGCAATTGTTCCCCAAGTTTAGCCAAAATCGACTCCTCTGGAATATAAGCCCACGTACCCCTGGGTGGGCAATTCCAGGATCCAAAAAGACTCATCCTTGACCCCCCCTGTCTTTACTTATAAGGTCTTGAACAGGGGTGGGTGGGTGCTGGCCACTGGGGCTACTGCATCCAGGCTTCAGGGTGGGGAGCTGTGTGTGGTCCACCCCTTGCCCATCTCTGGATGAAGCCCTCGGCCAACCTCCAAAAACTCTAGTCATTGTCACTAAGGAAAAATCAACTCCAAGGCTCAGAAGGCACAATAAACCTAGAGAAAGCTTTCTGGTTTTGAGTTAGCAGACCTAGCTAAGGATTTCTAGAAAGCACACCCGGCTGAGGTTTGTTTATTTCACAGGCGCAGGGACACCGTGAGCCTTCCTGCTTACTTGCACGGAGACAGCGCCCTGCAACTTCAGCTGAAGCTGGATCATGTCCACCTCGGCGGAGGCGCACAGCTGCTGCAGTTCTGCCGTCTTTGCTTTGATCTCGTCGGTGGCCACGTCAATGGGCTTCAGGTTGGCCTGCTGCTCATAACTGACGGGAATCCTCTTTTTGACGTAAGGGAAAGTGTTGGCCGCTGGAAAGGACAGAGCGAGCAGAATTGGCAACGTGCCTGGAGGGAGGGCCGGGAGCCAAAACTTGCAGCACCGAGCCCAAAATATCTCATGAGGTTCTAATTTATTTGTCCTTTTTTTATTGAGCCGGGGAAGTTTTCTGAAAACCACGCTATTCCTGCCCAAGGCATTCGAAGGAGCTAAAACCATCAGCCTTTAAAAACAATCCCTCGAGAAAACAACAGGAAATCACAGCTAACCGTGAGAATAATGTAGTAATAGCATGTTAGATGTAGCACACCCATGTCGAACCAGCGCTCTTTGCATTCAGTGGGAGAACAAGCAAAGGGATGCATCCAATTTTTTTAAAAAATAACATTCCGAAAGGGACGTTTGTTGGTCTTCCTGTTTAATGCAAAATCATGTCTGTTTGCTCGTTCTCCTGTTTCATGCAGAAGTTGCCACCTGAGGGTTAACACATTCAATCAGATCATTTCCAAGTTGCAAAAGGAAGGCATCTGAAGACCAGGGCACAAAGGCTGATCTGGGCACATGTTGGTGTGTTTCCATTTCTCGTAAAGCCAGTGGTCAGCCCTTGTGAGAGTTACAGCCTCACCCTATCGGGGAGATGGATGTTTCTCTCCCTTTGCTGTGACATTAAGCACCAGCGCTCGGAAATGAATTTGGAAACAGGCAGGGAATTGCTGAAGACTGCATAGGGGACGTGCCCTCTGCACAGCGTTATGTCAGGTTGCGGGAGGGGGGGGAGAGAAACATTTTGCACCCCTTGGAGTCTGAACACACTGGGCACATTACAACACGGCAACTCACTCGGGAAATCGTTCAGGCATTGATCTGCACAGAACGAGGGCCTTAAAAGGGCTACGCTGCTGGAAGTTGGCATTTCTGCTGTGAACTTTTGGATCCACTTAACCTTCAACTCCGACCAGAGCGGACATTTACCCTGATTTTCTCTGACCACCGAGGAGTGCTTAGCAAACTAAAAACCTTTAGCTGGCCAGAGGTCTTGGATCTATGCTGCTTCCTTTTGAACTCTATGAACAACTAATAAAGACCCATTAATGTCATGGGTCCTCATTGGGTCCTTCCAATGCCCTTCTAAGTCACTGACCCGCTGGCACGCCCCCCCCCGTCCCTTAGTTCCATTGGTTGACCTGGTCTGGCACCACAGCAGGCTTTGCACCCCCCCCCCATCCCACCCACCCGCCTTTCCTCCTCTGGCCTCTCTTCTGGCGCCCCGAAGAGGCCAAACTCACTGGTGAGTATCGTCCGTCTCTTGCACTGCTCTTCCACGCTCCCGTGCTTTTTCCCGGACAACGTATAGGGCGCCTCGAACACGAATCGGTTGATGTTGTGGTTCCGCTCGAAATCCGTCTTCCTGTCGGACAGCTCTTTTTCGTCAAAGAAGGGCTTCACGTAGGTCACCTGGATGTGGGCATATTTAGGGTCGAGGTCTTTGACATTCACCTGAAGCAAGGAATGAAAGAAGACCATCACTCTTCTGCCGCGGAGGAGTCATCTCATGCTGTTCCTTGATAATCCTCTCGGGCCAGCCTGCGCCCGCAAATATAATCCTGGTGGCAATCAGAGATAAGTCATTTTTGGCTGGTGACGCTGGCACAGCATCACCAGCCAAAAATGACTTCCCTCTGATTGCCACCAGGATTATATTTGCGGGCACAGGGCTGGCGCTCAGGATTTTCCACAGAGCGCGCTGGCAGCTGCATGCATTTGGTCTTACCTTATGCGAGTCCTGGATGATCTTGACATTCTCCGTGCCAAATTTTTCGCCGTAAAGTTTCAGCAGGCGTAAGGAGATCTCTGACAGGCCTGTGAGCTTGGGCTCCTTGTAGACGTATTCTTTGCTATCCTCCTCTTCAAAGAAAGTCTGTTGTTGATGAAAAGCACACAACAAATAACAGGCTTAAGAAAGGGTGTTTTTTTTAGCAAGGCATGCCCTGACAAAGAGCTGGTGGTCTACACTTTCTACTGGAAGCATCACATAGGAGCCCAATTTCGTGGCAGAAGGAATGAACGTAGTGCTGAGCGAGGAACTCAGTTCCCCACACATCTCCTTCCATGTTTTAACAAAGGTCCTTGGCTGTGCTTGAAGATCTGTTTCCAAAGTTTGTTAAAATCACAAAGGCACACACCTCTCAGTGGGCGTCAGAGGGAAGTCAACCCCATAAGGCTCGGGGCATTCACAAAACCCAGCTGCGTGGCCCACAAAGGGGGGGGGCAGAAGAGAGCCAACGCCAAGCCTTCTTGCTAACAGAAGGAATGATGCAAAGCAGGAAATGAAGGAACAGAGAAATAGCAAGAACTCTCTCGATCTGCAGAAGTGGAACAAGTCACTGAAAAGTGTCCTAATGGATGCAGAATTTAGACTGACTGGGTCTTGTCTCTCTAGTGCGATGCACACAAGTGGGTACGTGTAGAACCAGCAACTCCGTGCAGCGAGAGAGGGAAAAATGAACACAGCCAGCTGCCTTTCACTGACGGAGTCCTTGGGTTCATCTAAGCCAGTATGGCCAACTCTGGGTGGCAGGAGTTACCGCTGTACGACAGAACCTGAAACCCCCTGTGTATATATAAAGAGGGTGCTCTGCAGCTGAACTCTGGCATATGGAAAGAAGACTGGTTTGCAAAGGGTGCTCAGGACAAAGGACTCTGCATGAGATTCATCCAGCCATGTCAACCCAAACTGTGAGATCCTGCGCTTACCTGTCCATAAAAAGCTACTCGGAAGTAGGTGCCCAGCAGCCTTTTTCTGGTTTGCATCACTTCCAGGATTTTAGTGTAAGCTCCGTGGAGTGTTCGGTACAGTTGGGTAAGTTTCTGAATCAAAACACAGAAGGGGAGAAGAGCGGGTCAACGGTTGAAGACCGCCTGCAGCCTCTTCTCACATTCACAGCCTGATGTGGTCTTTGGGGACTGAAGACGGTCCCAAGTGATTACAAGTTTGGGGGCAGAAATGTAGTTAATGGTCAAAGCAGAAGCAAAGTATGCTGCTTATATACGTTCCCATAATGCTTAAGGAACTCTTTGGGGAGTTTACAATTTAATTTTGCGGGCTATACATTCCCTCCGTCCCACCAGTTGGGTACTCAGATTTACTGACCCTGGAAGGATGGAGTCAACCTTGAGTCCACTTCGTGATCCTGTTGGGATCAAACTCAGGCTGTGAGCAGAGTCTTGGCTGCAAGACTGCACTTTAACCACTGCGCCAAGACGTTTATGCTTTTTTTAAAAAAATAAAAAAGAAACTCAGATGCATGTTCCATAAATAAAACCGAAAAGCAGGTTTGGGTGATGATACTTTTATCTGGCTATTCTGAATCTGGAAAAAGAAAAAAAGGGGGAAGAGGAACTCAAGCCTCCAGTTCTTCCAGGATTCTTCATCAATCTAGGCTTTCTCATGTTCTGTTAACACCCAGCCTGTTGAAGGACCTGAAAGTCTGTTCATTTCATTTTTCCTTTTAAAAAAAACCCCACATTATCCAACTCTGCTCCAAGACACAGGGTACAACTACAGGGTCAAATACCACAGGATTTGCTCTGGTTATAAAACAGATGAATGTGATTAAAAAAAATTGATCACAGGACACGTATTCTGAATCTGGAAAAATTTAAAAAGGGGGAAGAGGAACCCAGGTCTCAGGTTCTTCCACGATTCTTCATCAATCTAGGCTTTCTCATGTTCTGTTAACACCCAGCCTGTTGAAGGACCTGAAAGTCTGTTCATTTCATTTTTCCTTTTAAAAAAACCCCCAAATTATCCAACTCTGCTCCAAGACATAGGGTACGACTACAGGGTCAAATACCACAGGATTTGCTCTGGTTATAAAACAGATCAATGTGATTTTTTTTTTTAAAAAAAATTGATCACCAGACACAAAGCCCATTTTGAACCAGTCTGGCCCTCTTTATTCCTGCTGCAAAATTGTTGTTTTTTGTTACTCCAGACGCAGGACTTCCTAGTTTTTTCACAGTTGTTTTATACAGACACACATATGCGCACAGGTATATTTTAAAACTTCCGTGCAGTTGAAACGCAAGAGTTTCCATGAGTTGCTGGACAGGAAACACGCTGGCTGGCTAATTCAGATGGGCACACCTCCCTTCTGCACAATGCTCGGCAGGAAATTAAGTCAGCTCGTGAGCCGCTACCTCAAATTCGCGACGCTTTTCATAGATGGGGATGATCAGTTTAGCAATCTCTGAAATGGTTTCGTAGCGCTCTGCCTTCCACAGGCCATCCACACACTGTTCCAGTAACTCCACCAGGACTTCCTGAAGATGATGAGGGCGGGGGAAGAGCAAAAAGCAAAACAAAAAAGAGAAGCTTTAGGGAACCTTGGAAGGGAAATCTGCCATTCATGTGAAAAACTAGTTCTGTGCTACATCAGTTTTGCTGACTTCAGCAGTGCCTCGGGAGAGCTTCAAAAAGTTCACGGTTTGGACAACAACTCCCAAAATCCACCAGCTAGCGTGCCCACTGGTCATGATCCCTAGGGGGTTCTGAGAGCTGTGGTCCAAAGCCTATGCCTCATTGCCTGTCCCAACGTGAGTAGATCCATCAGAATGAATGGACAATGGTTGACGTCACTCTTCAGCTGTTGACTCTGGGGAATCTAATCTATAAGAGAACAAGTGAAATAAAAAATAAAATAAAACATCTCTCTGATTTGTTCCCAAAGAATAATTCTCTGGGTCTACACGTGACCTGCTGGATAGCTCAGTGAGTTAGATCTCTGGTTATGGAGCCAGAGGTTGAGTGTTCGATTCCCCACTGGGCCTCCTTGATAGGGACTGGACGCGATGATCCATAGGGTTCTTTCTAGCTCTGTTGTTCTAAGATGACTGAGACCCCCCCCCCCAGGCTTAAATCTGATTGCATTAGGTTTACTCCCACCTCTTCTGTTGGGAAGTGTCACCTTTGTCTTTAAGAAAGTTGAAGGAGTTAAAATATAAAAGTTAAAATATTACATACTGCTTTCCCAGTTGCTCAAAGGTTGTCTCTATTAGTAATGGAAAAAATGCAGAAACAAACAAGAAAATCCAGATGCAGAAGACTACAAACGGAAGTTTAAAAGGGTGGGGGTGGGATCTTGTCTTGAAACACCCTGCCAGGACGAAGCAAACCGATGCTGGATGGATTCCTTGGACCATCTTAGACAGATCTTCGGTAGTTCCCCATTATGCTGAACTTTTGCTTGGAAGGAACCGACCGAGGAGCCTCACTTACTTCACTGTAATGAACATCCATCATCCCGGCATCTTCTTTCATTGCACCTTCCTCGTCAATGTTGGGCGTGATCTTCTTGAAAGCCGAGCATCCAGTAGGAAATAATTCTACAGGCAAGAGAAACAAGGAGAGAGGTGATCATGCTTCTGGAGGGCAGTCAGAGGAAGAACCACGTGGCTTCATTTGAAGATGACATTCTCATGGCACAGTGATTAAACTGCAGCGTTGCACTCAAGACTCTGCAAATGCCCTGAATTCGATCCCCAGGCAGCTGGCATGAAGGTGATTCAACCTTCCATCCTTTCAAGATCAGTAAAATAAGTACCCAACTTTTTGTGGGGTGTATGTGCAATGTGTAGCCTGCTTAATTACATTTTAACCCCCCCCCAAGTTTTAAATGTAACATTTCCAAGGTTTAGGGCTAGCTCAGCCCACCTACTGCGTGGTCAGTGGACGTGCCACTGGGACCCCACGCTCTTCAATGAGACGGATCCAGTTTCCCTTGGTCCTCCACCCACCACGAAAGAGGATCTGTGGGACGGACTGTTTTCTGGAGGGCCAGCCGGGTGAGCCCTTGTGGCTAAAACAGCCAAGAATCTAGTTCCCAAGAAGCCGCCATGAGTCGCTTGTCTTTGCAGGGGTGCAAACCCAAACGGAGCGCCCTGACCCGCCTGAAACAACAGCAGCGAACATAACAACCAACAGTTTTCCCTGTCGGGGACCCCCAAAGGAGCACATGGGTGTGGGCCACAGATGGGGTGATTCGCGATGGCCACGGACGTTGCGTGGTTGCCAGGAAAAGGAGTCAGCCCATCTCTCCCCAGAGGAGACCAAAACGCAGGATCAAACCCCATCTAGCCACCGCCTTTTATCTGCCCATCTTCAGTCCCTGATCTCTTGGTCTTTAAAATATTTTTATTTCATCTTCTCTTTATATTTTATCTCCTCTTTCCTTGGACCCCCTTGCCAACCCTCCCCGCCCGTGTTCCTTCCTAAACATTGTCTTGCCCGATGTTTCCCTCCAGTTCTGCCAAGGAGTCTTCTTGTGCCCCCAGAAAGGCTGGCGGCGTTTCCTCCGGCTCGAGGACTTGAGGGCTGCTGCCCAGTTCTTCCGACGAAGAAGCTCCCTCCAAGCCAGCAGGGCCCGAAGGCGCTCTGGGACAGAACGGAAACACGCCTACACAGCAGGATGAGCCGGCTTTCCAGCTGAGATTTCCCCCCAACACCTTTCTCGCGCCAGAGACTTACTTTTGCGATGAAGGAACTCTGCCACCAAGGCCGCGATGTGGACGTAGCACATGGCTGCCTGCAAGGGAAGAACAAGAGTTCAGCGCGACGGTCAAGGAAAGGTTCCCGCCTCCCCTCGAGAGCCAGCCAGGGTCGTCACCTCGGAGAAATCCCCGTTCTTGACATGGATCTTGGCCATGCTATCCAGCCAGGTCTTCCTCAGCTCCGGCGTGCTGGCGTACGACTTGGCCAGGCTGTACTGGAGGTCGACCAGCATTTCGGGGTCCCTCTCGTGCTCCTTCATCTGGGCCGTGGCCATCAGCACCGTCCGGATCCGCTTGGTTAGGTCTTTGACTTCGGAAGGGAAAGCCGTCGCCTGCCGGGAAGGAAGCCCCATCAGAGCAGAACCCCGAGAGAATTCAAGAAATCTGCTGGCAAAACCCCATGGAGTTTGTATTTTAACTTGAAGGAGGACAAGTGGTTGCAGTCATTGTTTTGATTTATATACTGCCCCGTAGGGCTTAGAGCACGGTTTAAGTGGTTTACAACATAATTATGTGAACAACACACCTGGGGGCTCATTTTACCAACCTCAGAAGGATGGAAGGCGGAGTGAATCTTGAGCCGGCTACCTGAACCCGGTGGGATTAAATCCAGGTTGTAAGCAGAGGCTTGATTGCAGTGCTGCACTTTAACCACCACACTATGGGGCTTTCATATTACCCCTCAATACTACTTTTATGGCCCTCGGGTGTGAAACAACTTTTGTAACTATAAAAATTCCTGTTTAGGGCCCAGAGACCATCAGGAATAGCAATTTTTACTTGAATGCAAACCTCCCCTAGATCTAAACCAGAAATGGACTTTCAGTTCTGCTTTTTTTTTCCTAATTTGTTTGCATTTCCGGGGCTGGTGCAGCCTGCAAAGGATACTGGAGCGAACACCCGGCCCCAAGATCCTTCAAAACTGCCCAGTTTGACTTACAGAAAAAGGTCAATCCCCACAACTGGATCAATGCAGCAATTCTTTGGGTGGGGGGAGATGTTTGTAACCCCCAGCTTTTCCTGGGGGAAAAAAAAGAATTGTATCTCCCCTCTCCAGTTTCGCTGGTCCAATCCAACCTTTATCCCTGCATTGCTGTTGCTGACTGTATACATTTTATTTATAAGAAATAAATCAATGTCAAAAAAATATATCAGGAAGTAAGAGTCAACAGAATTTCTGCCAGAGAGTTCCAGGAAAAAAATGAAAGCCAATTTTTAAAATAAGTGCCAACAGTTACACAAATGAGGGGGAAAGAGATTCCATTTTTTTAAATTTACCTACAGCACACCCACTGACCTGGCTCAGGTGCCATGCTTGCGCAAACCTATAGTTCTAATAGCAATTTAAATATTTTTTTTAGCCATCTGTCAATACTGTAGGTTTTTCCCATCCGGGGGTTACGCAATGTGTTTGCAATCTTGTTTACAGTCTTCACATCTGCATTTTCAGAAACCACTTCCTCAAGGATCCCTCGCTGCTTTTCAATAATAAGAAAAAGAAAGCAAAGCCAACGGGGAGTCCTACCCACTCCACGATTTACCCCTCATTTAGGCTGCTGGAGAGCTTTACGCAGGAGGGAATTTTCTTAAACGTCTGGAGGTGTCAGTGTGTGTGTGTGTGTGTGTGGGTTTAACATGTTTCTGTCATATTGATGAGCGGGACCTAAAAAGATGGCCAAGCTCCCCGGGAAACTCCTTGCTGGCTATTTTGCTCCCATTCTCAATTCAAGTGGCTTGTCTTTACAACTTCAATTTGCTTTACTTCATCCTTCTTTTTAAGACAATGATCCCTCTGCGCACTGAAGCATCTCCTTCTTTGCAGGTGTTGGCCTTCCAATTTTGCTCCCATTCTCAATTCAAGTGGCTCGTCTTTAAAACTTCCATTTGTTTTACTTCATCCTTCTTTTTGAGACAATGATCCCTCTGCGCACCGAAGCATCTGTACACTCCTTCTTTGCAGGTGTTGGCCTTCCAAGATTCCACCCATATCATTTTTTAAAAAAAACCCCAAACCCTGAGCTTTTAGCTGCAAGGCTAAGGGCTAGCAACAGGTGCAGAGCGGCTGCTGAAAAGGCAAATGCTATTTTTTAAAAAAACCAGAAATACAGTCTCCAAATTGCATGAAATACTTAGTTCCTCTATTCATCCCTGGTGAGACCTCATCTCAAGTCCTGCTGGGTCCAGCTTTTTAAGAAGGATGCCAACAAACCAGAGCAAGTTCAGAGGAGGGCAAGAAGGATGATCAGGGTGGGGACGAGAAACCCAGCCCTAGGAGGAAAGACCAAGGAAAGAAGATTTGGGGGGGATAGGACGGCACTTTTCAAAGACTTGAAAGGCAGGCCTATAGAGGAGCGGCAGGGTCTGTTCTCGATCAATCCCAGAGTGCAGCATATGTCAGAATGGGCTCCAAGCTACAGGAAACCTGATTTAGGGCTGAATATCAGGAAAAAATTCCTTGACTGTTTGAGCAGTATGACGGTGGAAACCATGACCTCGGGAAATGGTGAGCGTTCCAGCGCTGGAGGCCTTCAAGAGAAAGTTAGGCAGCCATCCGTCAGATAGGCTGAACATCAGGGAAAAAATTCCTTGACTGTTTGAGCAGTATGACGGTGGAACCCATGACCTCGGGAAATGGTGAGTGTTCCAGTGCTGGAGGCCTTCAAGAGAAAGTTAGGCAGCCATCTGTCAGATATACTTTGACTCGGATTCCTGCCTTAAGCAGAGGGTTGGATTAGACAGCCTCGCGGGACCCTTCCCACTCCATTATTTACATTGTGATTCTAGGATTCTTTAATTCTACTGGGAAGGAACCCACCCCTCTGTTTCTCTCACAAAGGATGACAAATCCTGCAGCACAGCCCAAATTTCAAGAGGCCAGAGCATGTGCAAAAAATTAGATATTATGCCCATCTCGCAGGCAGACGTGGTAGAACAGCTAGCAGGAAAAAAAGCTTTTGAACCAAAAAGGAAATGTAAGGACCTCAAAGATTGTTGCTTCCTTATTTGCCAGAACTCTTTATAAGGAATCAGACCAAACATTACCTTAACTGGCCGGTCGCTGTTGGCAAAGTTGTTGATAATAGATAAGGATTCCTGGAATCTGGAGCCCCCGCTCAGCGCCACGTCGGCGATCAGCTGGCTGACCGCAATGATAATCTGTTGGAGAAACAGTCGGTTTGGACAGAGTTGGGGGAAATTGAGTCCTTTTGAGATAATCGCTCTTTTGACTTCCTTAGCTGGGGATGCTGGACTTTGTAGTAACCCCCTCCCTCTCAAGCTCGGGATTGGAAGGGGCATGGAAGCTGGTGCAGGAAACCCCAAAGAAGGCTAATTTTGGTCCACCTAATTACAGTCAATTAGTAGACTGTTTCCAGAGAAGACTTTAACTATTGGAGGAAGGAAACAATCAGGAATCCGTGCCGCGTTCATGAAGCTGTATGGAGGCAGAGTCAATGGGAAGGAAGGTTGTACAATCCCTTCTTGAAAGGGGGACCTTCCTGGCCTTCCTCTCTGCCTCCCTCCCTTTCTCCGTCCCTGGCATCTCTCCCCTTTCACGCACCTGCAGGTGGGTTCTTAAAAAGGTCTTCCGCTTGGTGAACTCAAAGTTGTTCCTCATGAGGAGGTAGAGGAGTGCCGAGGCCTCGTTCCGGGTCGAGCTCAGCTTAGAGGTACAGCACTTGAGCACCTCGTAGCAAAAGGCCGCACACATGTTCACCCGCCCCTTGAAGAACGCCGAAGGGAACTGGGAAAAGCAGAGAGAGGAGGGTTAAAAACAGGGCCACGCTTTAAAAGCCAGAGCCTGCAAAACTCCTATAATATGTTTTACATCCATGAGTTCAGTAGTACGCACAACAGCCCTCTAAGGTAGGCTGATATTATTGGCACCATATTGCAGATGTGACCGAAGACTGAGGCCCAGAAAGAGTGAGTAAGGGAGGTTTGTGTAGGAGTTTTTGCAACCTCGGATGCTGCCTTTAGTAGGTGTGGCTCAGAAGGACCTTTCAGGGCTGGGCTGACTTGTCAATCTATCCAGCGCTCACCAATATTTCCCTCCCTCCTCGGATTTCAAAGACAGCCCCGCCTCTCTGCTGAGAGCTTTTTCCCTCTTTAGAGTCTGTTGTTGAAGGCAGTCCCGTTTGTCAGTTTGCTGTTTGGTCTGTTCAATGGTAAGTAATGAAATCTTTCTCTCTCTCTCTCTCTCCTCCTATTAATGTCTCAGAGTGAGTTACTGAGGCTGTAAGTGCTAGTTAATAGGAAAAAGTTCTCTCTCTCTCTCTCTCCTCCTATTAATGTCTCAGAGTGAGTTACCGAGGCTGTAAGTGCCAGTTAATAGGAAAAAAGGCTGGACTAATCTGGGCAACTTCAAGCTAGCTGGCTTGTGAGTCCTTGCACTCGTGCTACACAGCTAGAGGTATTTAACCAGAAATTGAAAACTCTGCAACAGATCTCACTGCAGAATTCAGCAGCAGCAGCAGATCTGGCCCTAAGTTAAGCCCGAGATCCACCTTTCTTGGATGGCTTCCCGGCCGTGAATAAGAGCACAATATTTATTGATTGATTGGGGGGAGGAAACATGTACAACCGAAATCGTGCTGCTCAAACATTCAAGCATGCATGCGTGCGTGTAGCACACACGTATGGGCTAGAGCAGAAGAGGAGGAGGAGCGGAGTTTGCAGAGAGAGGCAGGAATAGCGAGCAGTCGAACGGGGGATGACCCTTGTTTTTTTCTTAAGGAAACCCCCCACCCTCTTGCCAACCTCTGTGCTTCTACCTTGTTGATGAACGCTCTCAGAGAGGCGAAGATGTGCTTCAGGGAGGCCTCGGACTGCCCATTTTTGAGGAAGGCCAGGTGGATATCGAAAACCTTCTTCATCAGCGGGTTGTGCCCATCGTTGTTCAGGAGCTGATTCTGTAAAAGGACAGAGAGAGAGAGAGAACAAACAAGGACACCTACGTATGTCGCCATTTCCTGGATGGCAAGGATCCCGTGGGGTCCACTTTCAAAGGCCACGGGGTCATTTTACCCAAAGCCTGAGGCTTACCTTGAAACACTGGGTGAAGAAAGACAGGGTGTCGAGGACAGTGAGAGCCACCTCTGTTGCTGTGTTGCCTTCGAGCAAAGCCTGGTGCAGGATATCGGCTTCGGATGAGCCCGCGCCTGCAAGGAACAAAACCGTCCGGAAACTGACACCGGGATCTACTCTGTGCCCGTTGAGGAGGTGAAGAGAGATCATTCTGCCAAGCCAGGACTCAACGGCCCGTTCTCTCATCTGTAAAATGGGCTCGACAGTAAGGAGCCTTTTTTCCCTGGGTCCTTAGTGGGGGGGGAGCCCTTGGAGGGGAGACACTTCCCTAGATTTGGAATTAATTTGATACAAACAAATAATCTGTTGCCCACAATTTGTTAGAACCTTATGCTCAGCATGGTTGACAGCCTGAGTAATAATTGTTTCCCCTTTTTTTAAATGAGTGACTTTGTGGAGGAGTGATTATTTTTAGTCGTTAAAAAGGATTTAAACAAAAAAATGAAATGCAATGCGCTACTAACCTGTTACTAACGACCAGTGCTTCAAATTAATCTTTTTATATTCACTAGGACAATGAGCATGAATAAATGAATATGAAGGTGTTCGTCTCAACGCCGATCTTTTCTTTTTATTCTACTCTGTGTTTTGAGATACGGAAACACCTTTCGGGGAATACCCAAAAGGTACAGTCAGCCTGCGGTGGAAATGCATGACGTGGCCACCAAAATGCCCAGAACTTTCTGGAAATGGAAAGAGAGCAAAGCCCTGCAGTCCGGTTAGGGGAATAAGAGGTGCACCCTGGCTCCTGGTTGCATGACAACCTACTGTGGTTGAGTGTGAAGGAGCTGTCCAGGCTGCTCAGGTGCTGAAGGCGGGCCTGCATGGTGCCTGTCCTGCTGCGGAGGGCCGGCATCGTCTGTGATTTCCGGTCAACGGCCACCTGCTTCGACAACCAAGCATCATGGACTCTGAAGAAGACAAGAGGCCGCCAGGGTTGACCTGTTTATTTGCTTTACTGTATTTGTATCCTGCTTTTGTTCCAATAGCTGGCTGGAGAGCTCAGTGCTTATTTTGTTCCAATAGCTGGCTGGAGAGCTCAATGCTTTAGGTCTCTGTATGCAGAGGTTGGGAGTTCGATCCCCCCACTTGTGCCTTCTAGGAGAAAGAGCCAGCCTGGGTGGCCTTGGGCCAGCTGCACAGTCCCAGGTCGCCCCCCAGAGGAAGGGAAGGGTAATGCACTTCTGAGTCTTCTCTACCCGGAAAACCCTGGAAAGGGTCGCCATCAGTCAGAATTCACTTGATGGCATATTATTTCTTCCAATAAAGGAAACCCTAGCCAGTGTACAGTAACCCTTCTAGGAGAAAGAGCCAGCCTGGGTGGCCTTGGGCCAGCTGCACAGTCCCAGGTCGCCCCCCAGAGGAAGGGAAGGGTAATGCACTTCTGAGTCTTCTCTACCCGGAAAACCCTGGAAAGGGTCGCCATCAGTCAGAATTCACTTGATGGCATATTATTTCTTCCAATAAAGGAAACCCTAGCCAGTGTACAGTAACGCCATCAGTCAGAATTGACTTGATGGTATATTATTTCTTCCAATAAAGGAACCCTAGGCAGTAATGTTTTTAAAAATGGGAGAATAAAATCACAATCGATTAGGATTTTAAGCACTGAAACAGGACCAAACGAAGAGAATGTTAAAAGCACCATCAGTTAAAAAAAATTTAAATGGCTGATTAAAAAATCTTGACTTCAGACACAGTAGCTTAAAAAAAACCTGTTCTTGGGATGACATTCAAGCCACTCACTGAGGTTTTTCAGGCAACCACTTCTACTACCAAAGTCTGGGAAGCCCCAGGCTTCTCAGCTGGGTGTTTGCTTCAAGGCCCTCGGTAGCCAAACCCCCTCCTCTCCTTGCCCTTTCCTTTCTGCTCTCCCCACTGCTGCCTTGACAATCTACCCGACCTAATATGGAGAGAAGCCCCCTTCCCCCCCCTTGGGGGGCTGGAGTCGGCTCAGCTGGCTTCTTTGTCTCCGGACTTCCTTGGCTTTCTTTCTTTACGCCACAAATCTCCACCGGCAATAAACCCTCCTTGTTATTTATTATGGATCATACCTGGCAATGTTTCTTTTCCCCATGTATCTGAAATGAAATAAACACGCTCTGGAACAAAAGGGGGGGAAAAAGAGAGAGAGACATCAATAAAAATATAGTACGTTTCTGAGGAACATAAACACAACACATTTAAAGAGAGTTTTCCAACTCGTGGCATAAGAGGAGTCCTGCCCCCGCTGGGGTGGGTAAAATGGGGGCAAGCCTTCCTGGATTCCCTCAAACCCTGGCCCTCCGGCCACCTCCAGTTTCCAAAAGAAGTCCTTTTAAGGCCAACCTCAAACAGCTTGGGCAGCCAGAAAGACCAACAAGCGGGTCCTAAATCAAATCAAGCCTGAACAGCCTCTGGAGGTTAAAAAAATGTTGAAACGGAGACTTGTCCTACTTTGGGCACATCGCGAGAAAGCAAAGTTCTCTGGAAAAAGACCCTAAGTCTGGGAAAGGCGGAAGGCAGCAGGAAAAGAGGAAGACCAAATATAAGACAGACCGGCTCCCTAAAGGAAGCCACGGGGTTGAGTTTGCAAAACCTGAGCAGGAACTGTTGAGGACGGGGTATTTTGGAGAGGGCTTATTCCCAGGTTCACCCTAGAGTTTGCAAGAGCTGAGTTTGCAAGAGCAGGAACGGTTGAGGACGGGGTCTTTTGGAGAGGGCTTATTCCCAGGGTCACCCTAAGTTGGAAGTGATTTGACAACACATAACAACAACAAAACAGCTCTTAGTGATATTGAAACTGGGTTGACAAGGTAAATTGCAAAGCCCCATTTCAGGGGAAAGGAACGATTCACATCAGTTGCATATTTAAGGGGGACTGAGGGTGTCGGAGGGGATGTGCAGCCATCCATGATCTCACGAAGGGGTGCTGATGGTCCACCGACCTTGGGGACATTGTCCGTCCCTGCACGACGGTATTCAGGCCCGGCTCTGTCAAAGGGGAGAGTGAGCCAGCTGCTTGAGGCAACAGATTTTCAGGGGTGGTGGCGGTCACAAAACGGCAGAAAAAGATTATTCAGCTTTTGTTTTCTTCTGTTTTGGCTTCCAGCAGAATTTGTTGGATGCAGGGAAGGGACGGGTGGAATGTTTTGCTTGATGGGCCAAAATAAATGCGCTAGTGTTGCACCTGCTGCATCTTGTCTTAGGTGGGAGGTGGGTGGGCCTGCTCTGCTCGGCCTCAGGCAGCAAAGTATTGCGGGACGGCCCGGAGAGTATTTCAAACATCCCAACATCCGGCATCCTGCTTGGCCACTCATCAGTGGCCCTCGAGGCAGCTTACAGTTTACGGTCAATAAAATGCAATAATAAATCAGAATCCCTTGGGCAAGGACAGAAGGTCCGAGGGCCTCTGGACAGATTTAACTAAACAACAAGATCCTTTCAAAATGCCGTTCTGCAGGGCAGTGGGGCTCATTTGCGGATAAAACATTTGCTAGTGGCTTTCTTTGCAGTCCCACATTCTGACCTTGTGTTTTGCATGCAGCCAAAAACAATCCATTTTTTTGGGGGGGGGGAGAGGGCTAATGCACTGTAATATTTTGATCAAAGAGTCTGGTGGGAGCAGAAGCCCCCTTAAAATAAATGGCAAACCAACGGATTTATCAGGAAACTCACCCTTCACATAGTGAAAACCCATATATAATTTGAGTGAGCATCTGTATTAAGGGGCTGCATAGATCTACATAGTATGAATCTCTAGATGTGCATAACATTGTAAGTATTTTAAGTGTCATTTACGTAAGTCAGAAGGAGACAGACCCAGACAGGGCAGCCAGGAAGGAATCAGAAAAGATCCTCAAGGATAAGGATGGGTCACTGGAGACCAAGGTCATGATCATCCAAGCTCATGTATTTCCTCACTGGAGACCAAGATCAAGATCATCCAAGCTCATGTATTTCTGATCACCCGTATGGGTGTGAAAGCGGGACAGCGAAGAAAGCTGACAGCAGAAAAATCGAATCGTTTGAAATGTGGTCCTGGGGGAGAGCTTTGTGGATATTCTGGACTGCCAGGAAGATGAACAAGTGGGTCCTAGATCAAATCAAGCGTCAACTGCCTCTGGACACAAAAATGTTGAAACTGAGGCTGTCCTACTATCACGAGAAGGCAGGATACTTTGGAAAAGACCACAATGCTGGGAAATGTGAAAGCCAACAGGGAAAGAGGAAGACCCAATACAAGATGGACTGGCTCCATAAAGGAAGCCACAGGTTTGAGTTTGCAAGGGATGAGCAGGAACTGTTGAGGACAGGACATGTTGGGAGATGGCTCATCCATTGGGTCACCACAAGCCACAGGCAACGGGACTGCCCCTAAGGACAACCACCAGAGAAAAAGCAGAAGACCGCCTTTTTGACTTCTTCAAAAACGAAAAGCGACACTGCTTAGCCCTTTCATGCTCCCTTTATTGGTGCACAAAACCGCCTTCTCACTGTTGCTTTTATCGGTGGGAAAAGCAATACTGTAGGTGGGGAAACAGCCGCAATGTTGTGTGATGCTGAGCTGGGGAAAAGCCTTAAAAAAGCAGGCATCAAGAGAAAGGATGTGACTTACAGCTTAGCCCTACACTAAATCGCAGCTTTTTGATGGATGGGTTGATAGATGGATGGATGGATAGATTGGTTTAGAAGTTTTAGAAGTGTAAAATTTAGCAACCTGGAGAAGTCGATGGATGGATGGATGGATGGATGGATGGATGGATGGATGGATGGATGGATGGATGGATGGATGGATGGATGGATGGATGGATGGATGGATGGATGGATGGATTGCTTTAGAAGTTTTAGAAGAGCAAAATTTAGCAACCTGGAGACTTCTATGGGCGGGAAACACCAGCTGCCTTCTCTCGCTCCCTTATCCCATTTTTTAAAATGTGCACAAAATAAAGGATTAAGAAAAACTTACTCTAGAAGAACTAAGACGTTCATCAGCTCTTGGGGTGATATTCTGTTCCAGTAGGTTAACAAGGTATCTGAAAGAGAAAGAAAGCAGCCTAAGAGATCTGGTGTGCCATAATTGGGTTGTGAGCAGGAGGATTTCCCTGCCCTTCTCGGTACGGGGCACTCAGAATGGCTTGACCGCACTTGCAAGCGGGGAGGCCCCGTAGGGGTAGGAAACGGATGCAACAACAACTGACCTTCAGAGATCATTTTGATGACATAGGAAAGAGAAAGAAAGCAGCCTAAGAGATCCACTTTTTTTTTTGGCAACCCACGGCTGAGTGTCCTCCATGAAAACATATCAGGAATGATTACCGGGTGGTGGTTGTCAGCAGGTGGATTTCCCTGCTCTTCTCGGTATGGGGCACTCTGAACAGTTTGACCACACTTGCAAGCATAGGGGTAGGAAATGGATGTAAGAACGAAAGAGAAAGAAAGCAGCCTAAGAGATCCACTTTTTTTTTTGGCAACCCACGGCTGAGTGTCCTCCATGAAAACATATCAGGAATGATTACCGGGTGGTGGTTGTCAGCAGGTGGATTTCCCTGCTCTTCTCGGTATGGGGCACTCTGAACAGTTTGACCACACTTGCAAGCATAGGGGTAGGAAATGGATGTAAGAACAACTGACCTTCGGAGATCATTTTGATGACGTAAAGATAGCAGACGAGAAGGCTCCGGATCTCGTACCGGTCCAGGCGCCCAAACTGGGAGATGCTGCTTCGCGTGGAACCCCTCGGCATCTATTTAAACCCACGCAGGGCAAAAGGAAGTCATCGCTTATGGGTGGATTATAATCATTAGCAAGGAGGCTCTCAACCCGTCTCCCTATGACAGGCAGCTGGGAGGGGGGCAGAGCCCTGCCTCCCCACCCCTTCCCACAACACACACACACACACACACACCGGTTCCCTTATTAAAATTGTTTAGATCCCAGGCTTTTGGGGTTGGGGTGGGGATTGCCTCATCAATGTTGGCCCCGGGCCTTCTTTGAATTAGGAAGCCAGAAGGTGCCCTAAAGGTCATCCAGTCCAACCCACATAATGACACAGGGAATGCACAGCTGAAGCATCCCTGCCAGATGGCTGTCCACCCTCTGCTTTGCTTTGCTTAAAAGCCTGCCAGCCCTCAAGATATTGGAGTTTAGATCCCAGGCTTTTGGGGTTGGGGTGGGGATTGCCTCATCAATGTTGGCCCCGGGCCTTCTTTGAATTAGGAAGCCAGAAGGTGCCCTAAAGGTCATCCAGTCCAACCCCCATAATGACACAGGGAATGCACAGCTAAAGCATCCCTGCCAAATGGCTGTCCACCCTCTGCTTTGCTTTGCTTAAAAGCCTGCTAGCCCTCAAGATATTGGAAAGAGTCTTCTCCTTCTCCTTCTTCTTCTCCTTCTTCTTCTTTTTTGAAAATCAGGAATTGCTTCAGCTGAGACTGGGACTGAACATGATTCCCCCCATCACCCGTGCAGAACCAGAGAGGTATGCTCTGTGTCTCCTCTGAGTTCTCCAGAGCTGTGGAAAGCAGGCTTACATTTTCACCCGTGCCGCCTTGTTCTGGAGAGCCACCCCCTCCTTCGGAGCTGAGAGATCCTTTGGAGTCCTCCCTCTTCATGGGGAGGCCATTTGGGAGGGCTGCCCCATAAACTGAAAAGGAAACAGAGGAGGATTTGCAATCGCCATAACAGGCTCTCTTTAGGGACCAGTTCTGGTAATACAAGTGAAAATGCTTTTTCTCCCTGGGTTTTTCTTTTCTTTTATCATGCTATGCCTAGTGTTTGCTATTATCCACTGTTTTCAGTATCCGCAGGGGACTTGGAGCCCAACCCCCACAAATATGGGGGTCCTATTGTATATCGATTATCCCACAAAGGACCGGAATGGAAAGATTCCAGAGTAACATTTGCTTACGTGCATCTTTATCAACCAGGAGGCTGGATCTGTTGGAAGGGGATGTAAAGTTGCACGTAAACTCATCTCTGGATGCCTGGAGTGGGGGAGAGGAAAAAAGAGAAGGCATTGGGGTGTGTGTGTGGAAGAGCTCTAGTGGAAAACAGGAATATAAAGAACATAAAGACTCCAGAGAGCTGCCTTTTGCAACATAACTCTGTCAGCTGTGACAGTTCAACATAAACTCCTCAACTGGAGATATTTTTATTTGGAGAAACCCTCAGGAATCCTGGCCACGGTAGTCCCGAGTTAGACTTCTATGTTCACCCGGCCTCCAGAATCATCCACTTGCATGGTTTTCCCACGATGGAAATATCCTAATGCATACAGTTGATTTTTTTTAAAAAAAGAGTCTGTTCCATATCTGGGAAACATGAAACACGAATGCTTCAAAGATTACTCACAGAATTGGACAGGGTCGTGCAGGAGTACAGGGCGTCTCGACCGGCCAGCCGCTGGATGTTCTCCAGAAGGATCCCGACCAGAGGCAGATACAGCTGCGCTATTTTGGCTTGCTGGTTCTACGAGAGGGAAAAGCGGGGAGTGGGGAGGTGGTGAGCCAGGCTGTCCAAAGGGGCTGACGAGGTTTCTTGCAGCTTTTTTTTAAATGCAAATTGTGTCAGTGGGAAAATGGGGCTGAAAATTAAAAAAGAAAGCCAAGAGGCAGAGCTGAACCATTTCCTCCTCCGTTTTGGTGCTCAGGAAAACCCTTCTTCTGAACTCGACTACTCTGAATTAGGAGGAAATCCACTCACGAGTGATTAAGAGAAGCCTCTTTCAGAAAGTAAATGCATGTCTCGGAAGAGAGACCAGCTGTTTTTCTGTGCTTGCTCTCTGTGTGTGAGCATGAGATAGGAGAGACGTGTTTTGAAAATTACGGAGACCTTGGAACATACTAAAATAAATCTGTAAATCTTTAAGGATGCCACGATACTTTTGCTTTGCTTTTCTGCTTGTTGAGGGTGCGACTACACAATGAGAAAAATGTGAATGGATCTGAACGCACCAAGAAAGGTAGTTTTCTCTGGGTTGATTCACTTCAGCCAACCACATAGGAATCAGCAGAGAGAGGGGGAGAAATTGGCACTTAAAAGCTTTCTTTGCACTTGTTAAGGTAGCTCTGCTGTGGCCATCCAGATTTGCAAGGGGGATGGCAACAGTACAGCTATCTTAACAAGCTGCAAAGAAGAGCTAAGTGATATTTTTCTCCTTTCTCTCTCTTTCTGCCAATACCTTGCTCTCTTTTTTTGCCCTTTGATCATCTAGCTGCCCTAGTATTAGGCAGTAAGGATTTACAATGAGAGAAAGAAAAGAAATAGAAGAGGAAGAGAAGAGGAAAGCAGGCCCAGACACCAGGTTTGTGGAAGAGAGGATTTCCCTGCTGCCTTGCCTCTTTCGTTGCTGCTGTAGATAGGTGAAGTGGCTTCAAATAAAACAGCTACGAGTCCCTCCATATTGGCTCAAGTGATCACACGGCCGAAACCCATGAATGCATTTGATTACAAAGACATAGAAGCCCCAGTGGCAGAGGAGAAAAATATGGATTAGGGGGAGAAACCCCTAGGTTGATTTGCAATGTATCATATGCAATGTACCCTTTAATTTTCAGCCCCACTGGGCAGGGCTCTGCCCCCCTCTCTCTTGCAGCGTCACCCCTGTGTGCATGCGCGCGACCCCGCCATCCCGCACGCTGGGTTCCATCACCACCTGAACCTAACACGATCACTGCATGGAGGGAAGCGGATTCATGAGCGCGTACACCCAGCTTAGCGGGAACCTAGTTCATACGTCATGAAAACAACACGGATCTGACTGTATCAGAGCATTTCCCATACTCAAATACAGTGACCACTCTGAAAATTGGCCTTACCGCAGTCAGCCAGGTGGATTAAAAAGGGAAGACAGGGCTTTAAAGCCATCTTTTTATAACGGATATGAAGCCAACAGTCTCGGACCTTTAAGAAAATTGTAGGGATTAACAAGTCCGTCTCCAACTCCAGTTCATTGTACCCATTTTTTTTTTTTTTTGGTGGGTTGTCGTTTCAACATCCTGGAATTCTGGCCCAGAATTACAGACATAAACAATGCCTGCTGCAAGTTATCAGACAACACAGTTTGTTTGCTTTTTTAAAAAAAATCATGATTCCTAATAATGTTCTTGGCTGGTCGTGAGAGTTTTCTTGTGAGGCTGGTTGTTTACTAGACTGAGTGAGACTCATCGTTAGCACTTGCTGGACGGACATTTAAAGCCCTCTTCCCTAACTAGAAGGGAAGGGAACAAAACCAGGGAGCGAGCGGAAGGTGGGAGGAACCCGGAAATGAAGTCTCTTGAGGAGGCATCATCCACGAGAGGAGAGACACGGCTGGAGAATTGGTACCCCGCCCCTCTCAAAAAAAAAAAGTCCACCACTGATTGACTTCTATGCTGAGACACTTAGAGTTACACAGTTGAAATGTTAGTAGGATGATTCGTGGTCCCTCATATGGAGCAAAGGAGAAGTGTAGCTAATTATAAACAAAAGCAAAAAAGCAGAGCGCTTATATACCTTCCTGTAGTGCTTAAAGAACTCTCCGGGTGGTTTAAAATTTAATTATGAAGGCTACATACTGCCCACCCACCCCAGCAAGCTGGGTACTCAATTTACCAACCTCAGAAGGATGGGAGGCTGAGTGAACCTCGAGCCGGCTACCTGGGATTGAACCCCAGGTCGTGAGCAGAGTTTTGGCTGCAGTACTGCATTTTAATCACCACAAGGTTCCTCTTAATTGAAAAGACATTGCCAAGGAATTACTATACCTTATGCTGGTATCTATTGTCAAAAGCATGTTTTATGAGAAGGCTCTTTAAGATACTGATGGCTAGGTAGCGGATGTCGTAATTGTCTTGAAGTGCAACAGATGTCTCTCTCAGGAGCAAGCCCACGAGGAAGTGATGGCGGCCGTATTCATCAGACAAGCTGTACTCCAGATTCGTGTCTGTCACAAGAAGCAAAACAAAGGCTTTTTTTAAAAGGGCATCTGGAATAGTGAAGCAGAAAGGGATTTGATGATGGTTGAGTGCAGTGGTTCCTGTATTCATCAGACAAGCTGTACTCCAGATTCATGTCTGTCACAAGAAGCAAAACAAAGGCGTTTTTTAAAAAAAAAAATAATAAGGCATCTGGAATAGTGAAGCACAAAGGGATCTGACGATGTTTGAGTGCAGTGGCTCCTGGCCTTGGGTAAGCCAGACGTTCTTGGACTGCAATTCCCAGAAAGCCTGGCCAGCACAGTTGGTGGTGAAGGCTTCTGGGAGTTGCAGTCCAAGAACATCTGGGGATTCAAGGTTGGGAACTATTGGTCCAGTCAATTTCACAGAAGACTCTTGCAATGATTGGCAGAGCTTCCAAAGGTTAAGGGTCGCCACTGGTTGATTTGCTTAAAGCAGACTAAGAGAGGCAGAAAAGAAGGAGGCTTACGCAAGCATCAGGGGAGGGGAAGAAGAGTGTGTGAGAAGGAAGGAAGGATTAAATGAAGAGGTGAAATTTGAGCAAGGGATGAAAGCTACGAGTGAAAGGGACCCATTTGCGCAGTCATTTCCAAATGTGGGATTCCAGACATTCTTGGACTAAAATGACCAAAAGTCTTGACTTGTTTGTCTTGGCTGGGGATTCTGGGATTTGTGGCTCCAGACCACCTGGTGCTCTGCATCCGAGACCCACACCATCCGTGGATTGGCCTCATCTCCAAATCTTCTGAAAGAAGTTTGGGTCAGCCTTGTTCCTCAATTTCTTCGTCTGCCGTAAAAGAGCCACGAGGCGTGCCGGATGATGCTTGATGTCAGGCAAGGCTCTCTGTCCGCCTACACCAGTGCTGCCTGTTCTGGCCAGCCATGGTTCCTCCCCATACACGTTCTCAGGCTTCTATATCATGTGCTGCCTGGCGCCAAACTGAGAAATCCCCGGGTCATCCCCAGTTGGAGCGGATGTCCAAAGCTGCCCTATATCAGGCCAGGGGTGGGAACTCTGCACCCCCCCTACAGCCCCACCAGAAGTTGCCATCCATTTCCTCATTTTAAAAATGTTTTTAAGCAATGGAAGGATCACCTCTAGAAGTGGAGTGGTTTTATTTATTTTTTTACAAGGCACTTCCCATTCCAGCAACCCCTGGAAATGGCATTTTCAGAGAAGCAAGTTTCACCCGGGGTTTGCGGGGTCCCCGGAACATCCCAAGACAAGGAAAAGGGCTTGCAGATCAACAAAGGTTGCTTGCCCCTGTTCAAGGTTCTAGATTGAATCAAGCCCGTGGAGTGAAATCCCACCTCCTCCATCTAGTGTCTTGGGAAGAGATGTTTTCCACCAAATGTTAACGACACTCTGAACTTTCGGTGTGCAAAAAAAAGCATACTCGAGCAGGCAGCAATCTTCCTCCCCTTCACAGCAACGCACTATTTTTCTCCTCGCAAGACAGAAATTTCTGTAGTGCTTGGCCTACACAAGCATGGGCAAGGCTAGCCTTCCAGATGTGCATTGGACTACAATTCCCATTTGCCTCAGAGAACAGGGAGGGTTTCTGGGGTGTGTATGATGAATAAAGTCCTTTGAGTTCAGTCTGAATGTTTATGGCAACCACCACTACAGACGGCTCATCTACAGTTCATGCTACTCCCCAGTTTGGTGTTTGTGCAAGACTCTCAAGAAGAGTGATTTATAGAACAGCTTCAAAGAATCCTGAAATCTGATTGGCTCTGGGTGGAATCCAGGGGAAATGAAGCCACCCAGATGTTTCTCTCTGCTGCTCCAGATGTTCAAGCTCAGTGTCTCTTTTCAGGAAGGAGACACTAAAATGTGTTAGTGCACAGAAGAAGCAAATCTTGGTCAGTTTTAACAGAAATCATATCGGGTGATCATTTTTGGAAGCTGTGCTGCATGTTATGCTTTGCTAAATATTTTCAAGATGCAAAAATGAGTTGATTCAAAGTTGGGATTGATTTAATAGGGGGGGTGTTAACTCCAGCGAACAAATTCCCCTCCCCAACATACCTACTGAAGTGAATCGTTCCAGAACCGTGGAAAAGAAATCTGATTAATGTGTGAAAGGGAAACAAAAGGGGATTTGTAAGATATAAGAGACAAATATTTAGCCTAGTTAATGTGACATGACGAATGTACTGACAACAGGAGGCGAGCTTAGGAGCTTTTTTTAGTTTTAGAAGCAGGACGAATCTGAAGCAGGACAAGGTGAAACTCAGCTGTCTCAAGTACAGACTTTTGAAGGGCAAAGTGTAATTTACCGTGTATTTTTGAAACTAGCCAGATGAATAACAGTAGCATTTGGGCGAGCAAGATTTGATTATAATGAGAGTTGTATCCACTTAGTCTAGTACATTTCGATTTTATGTACCCCTCCTGTTTGTGGTAGATACAAATCAATGAAAAGTCACTACGACAAAAGAAATCTTAAGTCTTTAAAGTGGCACAAAAGACTGAACTGTTTTGCTGGATTTCTCTGGAAGTCTTATCCACAACTTGGATAAATTATCCTTTTGGATGACTGCTCCCATCATCCTATGAATAATCTCATGGCCCATACTGACCAGGAATTAGGAGAGCAGTCGTGCAGAAAATAACTTCCCCAAACTCTGATGCTATCGGATATGTCCTAACTTCAAGCTCTTAAGCAAACCAAAGAAATGTGTCAAAAATATTATATGGGAATTAAGGACAAAATGCAAAATATTTTAAGCCACCAGGCAGAGAGCGTACCTTGAACCCGCTGAAGCTTTGGTCTGGCAAAGGTCATCGGGAGGTTTAAAGGAATGTAGTGCTCGTGGTTGCAAATGGTCTGCAGAAATTCAAACTTGTATTCCACCAGAACCTGGATTTAAGACGAGAGAGAAACACATACACACAGAGTATGAGACAGGAAGCCACCTATTTCCTACCATCCCAACGGCTTCCATGAATTTTTCTTACCTTGGGATCTTTGGGACTGAATCCGGAGATGTAGTCATTGATCAAGGTGAAGATAAACCCTCGGTCCATGAACGTCAAGCATCGCTGGGAAAGACATCAAGAACAGGCCCCATGAAGAGGTGTCCCCCCCCCACGAAAAATGCATCCTGACTATTCATAGCATGATAGACTGGGTTATAATTCTGAAGTACCCAGAGTTTTCGACCAGTGGTCCTTAAACGTCCAAAGCCAGTGTAAGGGCTCAGCAGACTCAATACAGATTATTATAATGATAACCCTCCTCCTCCATTTGTATTCTGCCTCTCCTTCAATGAGCTCAAGACAACGTCACACGGCATCTCTAAAGCAACCCAATGCCATCTTTCATGGATTACAAGCAACTTCCTCTTGTTCTTGGACTACCGCCTCCAGATTCCACCCCAACCAGCGTGGGGTCTCTCTAAGCAAGCCTTCCTGGGAATCGTCACCCCAAACGAATTCTTCCGAATTCTGGGACGAGGCTACCAGAAACCTACCCGTCGCTCCAAATTTGCTGATGCCACCGGTCTCACCGAGGATCAGACTCTCACCATTTCTATAGGAAATAAATTCTGAGTCAGGCCTGTGGAGGCAGGGAACCCCAACCAGCGTGGGGTCTCTCTAAGCAAGCCTTCCTGGGAATCGTCACCCCAAACGAATTCTTCCGAATTCTGGGACGAGGCTACCAGAAACCTACCCGTCGCTCCAAATTTGCTGATGCCACCGGTCTCACCGAGGATCAGACTCTCACCATTTCTATAGGAAATAAATTCTGAGTCAGGCCTGTGGAGGCAGGGAGGAAAGGCCACCCACCTTGAGAAAACTGGCCAAGCTGAAGTTGACGTTTCTCGACTCCTCCGGGATTTCGCTGTAACGAATGTTCACATGGGGGATGATGGCGAGGAGCAGGGAGTGCAAGACGTTATTGTACGACTCGGGGAAACGCTGAACTCTGGGGAGCTGAAGGATGAAAAGTGGCAGAACTCAGC